ATGAACCTATGGATTAACTGCAGCATCGTTTTTTTATCGTTTTAATGCCATTGAAGACCAGTTTTGACCAAGGTAAGCCATGTTAGTGTTTCTAGCTACCTAGCTCCACATGTTATGATGTACGCTTTCGTTTATAGCGTCGCAAATGTTTATCACTGAGTGTTGAGGTGGGCACCCCCAGATTCTGTGTCTCCAGGAGATGCTAATCGAGGGGTTGGCTGTGCATCTAGGATAAGTAATAAGGGAGTTATTGTGAGTTTAAGTGCCGTTTTAGGTTACATTTTTTCGCTCGTGGCTAATTCAGAGGCTGAGTGTTAGCATTGTGGGGTTTTTTTGGAGAAAGAAAATTAAAAAGATCAGTTAGCTGAGTTTCTTCCCGTTACATGGATATAAAACATTCATAGTTTATTAAATATTAAGATTCCTTAGACGTTGTTTCCTGCAAATGACGCGTTTATCCGCCCGGTACCGGGGGGGCCGTGCGTAACAGGTTAAGGAACAGAGTCTACAGAACCTTAGAGTCTACAGAACCTTAAAGAGCAGAGTCTACGGAACCTTAGAGTGTACAGAACCTTACAGAACAGAGTGTACAGAACCTTAAAGAGCAGAGTCTACAGAACCTTAGTCTACAGAACCTTAAACAATAGAGTCTACATAACCTTAGAGTGTACAGAACCTTACAGAACAGAGTGTACAGAACCTTAAAGTGTACAGAACCTTACAGAACAGAGTGTACAGAACCTTAAAGAGCAGAGTCTACAGAACCTTAAAGAGCAGAGTCTACAGAACCTTAAAGAGCAGAGTCTACAGAACCTTAGAGTGTACAGAACCTTAAAGAGCAGAGTCTACAGAACCTTAAAGAGCAAAGTCTACAGAACCTTAGCAGTGTTTCCCCTACCATTGTCTTGGAGGGGCGCTGCGCCCCGCCAACGGAGCCCCGCGCCCCCCATGAATTTCAAGGTGTTTAAAAAAAAAAAAAATTATTACATTTATTTTTTTATATATATATACATATATACCAAATTGCAACTAATCTCTATCTACTGTCACTTTTCACATTGAACATGTGCTCTTTTATTAAATAAACTAAACACTTTCATATTAAGTTGTGAGTTTAGTGTTTTTGACCCTAAGAAACACTGATGCCTTAATCAATAACAATAATCCACAGCTCCTCTCTCTGCTCCAGAGGATTTAAAAAGAAAATATCCCAAAGCCCCCGCTCAGGCAGCACCCCCCCCGCTCAGGCAGCACCCCCCCCCGCTCAGGCAGCACCCCCCCCAGCTCAGGCAGCACCCCCCCAGCTCAGGCAGCACCCCCCCCGCTCAGGCAGCACCCCCCCCCGCTCAGGCAGCACCCCCCCCCCGCTCAGGCAGCACCCCCCCAAAGCAGTAAACCTAGGGGAAACACTGCTTAGAGTCTACAGAACCTTAAACAACAGAGTCTACAGAACCCTAAAGAGCAGAATCTACAGAACCTTAAACAACAGAGTCTACAGAACCTTAAACAATAGAGTCTACAGAACCTTAAAGAGCAGAATCTACAGAACCTTAAACAACAGAGTCTACAGAACCTTAGAGTCTACATAACCTTAAACAATAGAGTCTACAGAACCTTAGAGTCTACATAACCATAAAGAACAGAGTCTACATAACCTTAGTCAACAGAACCTTAAAGAGCAGAGTTTACAGAACCTTAGAGTGTACAGAACCTTACAGAAAAGAGTGTACAGAACCTTAAAGAGCAGAGTCTACAGAACCTTAAAGAGCAGAATCTACAGAACCTTAAACAACAGTCTACAGAACCTTAAAGAGCAGAGTCTACAGAACCTTAAAGAGCAGAGTCTACAGAACCTTAAAGAAGAGTCTACAGAACCTTAGAGTCTACCGCACCTTAAAGAACCTTAAAGAGCAGAGTCGACAGAACCTTAGAGTCTACAGAACCTTAAAGAGCAGAGTCTACAGAACCTTAGAGTCTACAGAACCTTAGAGTCTACAGAACCTTAAAGAGCAGAGTCTACAGAACCTTAGAGCCTAAATAATTTGGGTGGACATTTTTTTTTTTCCATATCTCTGGCCCCCCTTGGTCGATTTTGATGGTTGACACCTCTTTCTGACCGTTAGAGCCAATAGAATCGAAGGGGGATTCCCCCACACACACTCGTTGTAAAACAAAAAGGTGGGGGCTTTGCTCATGTAGTTTTGCATCAGAGTGAACCTACACTCTAGCTCTGACATCTAGAAACGGAAAAGCAGTTTTAATGCTCATGGATTATCAGAAATCATTTCAAAGGGACACAGACACATTAGATTAACCTATGGATTAACTTCAGCAGCGTTTTTATCGTTTTAATGCCATTGAAGACCACTTTGGAGAGACTTCAGAGCCAAGGTAAGCATGTTAGCATTTTTAGCTACCTAGCGCCACATGTTTTGATGTCTGTTTTTGTTTATAACGTCGCAATTTCGTATAATTCAGTGATAATGAGGGTACCCATCGATTCTGTGTCATCTCACGATGTGAAACGATGTGTTGGATGTAGAGAAGAGATAAATAATAAGGTTTTGTGAGTGATCTTCGGTGCAGTAATCTGTTAGCATTTTACGCTCGTTGCTAATTCAGAGGCTCAGTGTTAGCATTGTGGGTTTTCTTTTGAAAAATAAATAAAAATGATCAGTTAGATGAGTTTCTTCCCGTTACATGGATATAAAACATTCATAGTTTATTAAATGAACATGCCCTCAGACACTGTTTCCTGCAAGATGTTGCGGGAGTACCGGGGTCTCTCGGGCTTAACAGGTTAAAGAGCAGAGTCTACAGAACCTTAGAGTCTACAGAACATTAGAGTCTACAGAACCTTAAAGAACAGAGTCTACAGAACCTTAGAGTCTACAGAACCTTAAAGAGCTGAGTCTAAAGAACCTTAAAGAACAGAGTCTACATAACCTTAAATAGTAGAGTCTACAGAACCTAATAGTCTACAGAACCTTAGAGTCTACAGAACCTTAAACAATAGAGTCTATAGAACCTTAAAGAGCAGAGTCTACAGAACCTTAAACAATAGAGTCTACAGAACCTTAAACAGCAGAGTCTAAAGAACCTTAGAGTCTACAGAACCTTAAACAACAGTCTACACAACCTTAACCAATAGAGTCTACAGAACCTTAAACAGCAGAGTCTAAAGAACCTTAGAGTCTACAGAACCTTAAACAACAGAGTCTACAGAACCTTAGAGTCTACAGAACCGTAAAGAACATAGTCTACAGAACCTTAAAGAGCAGAGTCTACAGAACTTTAGTGTCTACATAACCTAATAGTCTACAGAACCTTAGAGTCTACAGACCTTAAAGAGCAGAGTCTACAGAACCTTAGCGTCTACAGACCTTAAAGAGCAGAGTCTACAGAACCTTAGCGTCTACAGAACCTTAGAGTCTACAGAACATTAAAGAACCTTAAAGAGCAGAGTCTACAGAACCTTAAAGAGCAGAGTCTACAAAACCTTAGTCTACACAACCATAAACAATAGAGTCGACAGAACCTTAAACAGCAGAGTCTAAAGAACCTTAGAGTCTACAGAACCTTAAAACAACAGAGTCTACAGAACCTTAAAGAGCAGAGTCTAAAGAACCTTAGAGTCTACAGAACCTTAAAACAACAGAGTCTACAGAACCTTAAAACAACAGAGTCTACAGAACCTTAAAACAACAGAGTCTACAGAACCTTAAAACAACAGAGTCTACAGAACCTTAAAACAACAGAGTCTACAGAACCTTAAAACAACAGAGTCTACACAACCTTAAACAATAGAGTCTACAGAACCTTAAACAGCAGAGTCTAAAGAACCTTAGAGTCTACAGAACCTTAAAACAACAGAGTCTACAGAACCTTAAAGAGCAGAGTCTAAAGAACCTTAGAGTCTACAGAACCTTAAAACAACAGAGTCTACAGAACCTTAAAGAGCAGAGTCTAAAGAACCTTAGAGTCTACAGAACCTTAAAACAACAGAGTCTACAGAACCTTAAAACAACAGAGTCTACAGAACCTTAAAACAACAGAGTCTACAGAACCTTAAAACAACAGAGTCTACACAACCTTAAACAATAGAGTCTACATAACCTTAGAGCCTACAGAACCGTAAAGAACATAGTCTACAGAACCTTAGAGTCTACAGAACATTAGAGCCTACAGAACCGTAAAGAACATAGTCTACAGAACCTTAGAGTCTACAGAACCTTAAAGAGCTGAGTCTACAGAACCTTAGAGTCTACAGAACCTTAAAGAACAGAGTCTACAGAACCTTAGAGTCTACAGAACCGTAAAGAACATAGTCTACAGAACCTTAAAGAGCAGAGTCTAAATAACCTTAAAGAACAGTCTACAGAACCTTAAAGAGCAGAGTCTACAGAACCTTAGCGTCTACAGAACCTTAAAGAGCAGAGTCTACAGAACCTTAGCGTCTACAGAACCTTAGAGTCTACAGAACATTAAAGAACCTTAAAGAGCAGAGTCTACAGAACCTTAAAGAGCAGAGTCTACAGAACCTTAGAGTCTACATAACCTTAAAGAACCTTAAAGAGCAGAGTCTACAGAACCATGGTTAAAGTGTTTACCACAAACAGAACAAACAGAACCATAAAGAGCAGAACGTACAGAACCAGGGTTACAGTTTGAAAGAGTTGTTGTGGGGCTGCAAGGCAAATGGAACTAGATATAAGACAATGAATGAATCACAGAACCTAGACCAACAGTCAGAACCATAAAGAGCAGAACGTACAGCACCAGGGTTAAAGACAATGAATGAAGCACAGAACCTAGACCGAGGAACATATGTCCCCCACAATCAGAACCCACTTAGACTCTGCTAACCATTGATTTTGCTCATGTCTGTAAGACGTTGCTTTTGCCGGGACCCCCTTGAAAACGAGATGGTGCATCTGAAGGGGTTTATCCTAATGAATACATTTCTACATAACCATAGCAACAGTGAAAGGATGCCTCACCTTGACGACGTCCCCCAGGTAGACGTCCTCCATGTTGTTGTTGGGCAGCGTTGCGCTGAACACCCTCCCCACCACCGCTGAGGAGTCTGGGAAGAAGGATGTCTCCTGCTGGGAGTCCTGCTGGAAGTCCATCAGCAGAGAGGAGGTCATGGAGGCCTCCAGCTGCCCCCCCCCCCTCCACAGAGAGACCCCCCCCCCACCACCAGCAGCAGCAGCAGCAGGGCTCCAGTCCCCTGTCTCACCCCCACGCCTCCAGAACTCCATGAGGAACGCATAATACTCCGTCAGTGATGCAGAAAACAAGCTAATGTCCGAGTGGGAGGGGGGGAGTTATGGGGGGAGTAATGAGGGGGCATGCAGCACCCTGACTCTCCTCTCAGATCTTCCTCTGTGTTGGGGGGGAGATCTTCCTTTTTTGTTCTGGTCTTTATCCTTCCTCTTCCTCCTCTTCTCTCCCCCCTCACTGGGTTTGGGCTCCCATTGAGTCGAGCAGATCTGTGGGGGAGAGAGAGGGAGACGTTAGGGGAGGGAAGTGTGTTTGGGGGGGGGGGGGGGGGGGGGGGGGCAGCTTCTTATAACATAAAGCAACAGAAACACTTTGACGTTTAGAGCTGGGGGGTCATCATGACTTCACAGCAGCTACAGCCAATGACATTCTTCTGACCTGAGCTCCTCCAACAATCCAACTTATATAATAACATACAAAAATACAAATGCTAAATAAATAAATAAATAAAAGATTGACTTTTCAATATCCAAGTCTCTATCATCATGAGCTCAGCAGCTACAGTGTAGATATGAAAAACTGAAGGCTCCTCCAACAGAGCAACATGAATATATATAGGACATAAAACAGATACAACAGATACAACAGATAAAATAGTGCACGAGAATGTTAAAGTAAATACAAATAAAATAGAAATAGTAAATGCAATATGATATATAGATACATAATTAGCAAGATGCAAACAGATGAATGTTTATGGCTGTTATTTACAGAGTTCAGGTGTTTAGCAGTGATATAGATATAAATGTCATAAACACTGCAGATTCAGAGTAATCTGATTACGTCTGTCTCTTTTCACTCCTTCAGAATAGAATAGGGGGGGGGGAGTGAGGGGGGGGGGGGAGTGAAGGTGATATACGGCAGGACTCAGATTCTCCAACAAAGACGGTCAAAGCTTTTCTCGGAAGCTCTGATGAATGCATGCCTTCTCTATTGTGAGAGGGGTCAGCCCGAGTGTGTGTGTGTGTGTGTGTGTGTGTGTGTGTGTGTGTGTGTGTGTGTGTGTGTGTGTGTGTGTTGTGTATGTGTGTGTGTGTGTGTGTGTGTGTGTGTGTGTGTGTGTGTGTGTGTGTGTGTGTGTGTGTGTGGAGAGGGGGGGTAAAGAAAGAGAGAGAAGGAGAGAGTTAGTGTCCATTGTGTAGGACTGAACTCTGGGTCTGTTATTCACACAGTCTTTCATCCGGGAGAGGGTGTGTGTGTGTGTGTGTGTGTGTGTGTGTGTGTGTGTGTGTGTGTGTGTGTGTGTGTGTGTATGTGTGTCTTTGCTTGCAGAGAAAGAGATGGACAGAGTGAAAGAGGGAGTGCTTGCCCTCCCGCTGTGAGTCCATTTTTGCCCCGGAGCAGAAAGTGAAATCTCTGCAGGACTCCCCCCCCCCCCCCCCCCCTCTGCAGGACCCCCCCCCCCAGGTAGCCTTTGAGCTGCTTTAAAGCCTCTTTGTTGTCGGGCCTCCGTCACCTTCGGACCAGAGACTCTGTTTCCCCCCCCCCCCTCAGATTCAGTCTCTGAGAGTCAAGGCTTTCTCTCTGATGGCGGCCAGTAGTCCAATTTCACTTCATTGTCCCCAAGAAATGTTGTTTAGTTGCTGCAAATAAAGTCCAACATTACCGCTGTCCCACCGTCTCCTCCAATAAGATCACACTGTCCCACCGTCTCCTCCAATAAGATCACACTGTCCCACCGTCTCCTCCAATAAGATCACACTGTCCCACCGTCTCCTCCAATAAGATCACACTGTCCCACCGTCTCCTCCAATAAGATCACACTGTCCCACCGTCTCCTCCAATAAGATCACACTGTCGCACCGTCTCCTCCAATAAGATCACACTGTCCCACCGTCTCCTCCAATAAGATCACACTGTCCCACCGTCTCCTCCAATAAGATCAGACTGTCCCACCGTCTCCTCCAATAAGATCACACTGTCCCACCGTCTCCTCCAATAAGATCACACTGTCCCACCGTCTCCTCCAATAAGATCAGACTGGTGTTGGTCCTGCGTGTATAAACTGTCTGAAGAACTGTTCTGAGGAAACTGTTCTGAAACCACGTCAGGTTTAGGGTCTGAAACCACAACCACGTCAGGTATAGGGTCTGAAACCACGTCAGGTTTAGGTCCTGAAACCACAACAGGTTTAGGGTCTGAAACCACGTCAGGATTAGGTCTGAAACCACAACAGGTTTAGGGTCTGAAACCACGTCAGGGTTAGGTCTGAAACCACAACCACGTCAGGTATAGGTTCTGAAACCACGTCAGGTTTAGGGTCTGAAACCACGTCAGGTTTAGGTCCTGAAACCACGTCAGGTTTAGGTCCTGAAACCACAACAGGTTTAGGGTCTGAAACCACGTCAGGATTAGGTCTGAAACCACAACAGGTTTAGGGTCTGAAACCACGTCAGGATTAGGTCTGAAACCACAACCACGTCAGGTTTAGGGTCTGAAACCACGTCAGGTACAGGGTCTGAAACCACGTCAGGTATAGGGTCTGAAACCACGTCAGGATTAGGTCCTGAAACCACGTCAGGTTTAGGTCCTGAAACCACAACAGGTTTAGGGTCTGAAACCACGTCAGGTTTAGGGTCTGAAACCACAACCACGTCAGGTATAGGGTCTGAAACCACGTCAGGTTTAGGGTCTGAAACCACGTCAGGATTAGGTCCTGAAACCACGTCAGGTTTAGGTCCTGAAACCACAACAGGTTTAGGGTCTGAAACCACGTCAGGTATAGGGTCTGAAACCACGTCAGGTTTAGGGTCTGAAACCACGTCAGGTTTAGGTTCTGAAACCACGTCAGGTTTAGGGTCTGAAACCACGTCAGGTTTAGGGTCTGAAACCACGTCAGGTTTAGGTTCTGAAACCACGTCAGGTTTAGGGTCTGAAACCACGTCAGGTTTAGGGTCTGAAACCACGTCAGGTTTAGGTTCTGAAACCACGTCAGGTTTAGGGTCTGAAACCACGTCAGGTTTAGGGTCTGAAACCACGGCAGGTTTAGGGTCCGAAACAACGTCAAGAGCGCTCAGCGAGTCTATAGTTAGCTTCAGAGACACACACATCTACACAATTCACTGACACACACATCTACACAATTCACTGACACACACATCTACACAACTCACTGAGAGACACACACATCTACACAACTCACTGAGAGACACACATCTACACAATTCACTGACACACACATCTACACAACTCACTGACACACACATCTACACAATTCACTGACACACACATCTACACAACTCACTGACACACACATCTACACAATTCACTGACACACACATCTACACAACTCACTGAGACACACATCTACACAACTCACTGAGACACACACCTACACAACTCACTGAGAGACACATCTACACAACTCACTGAGAGACACACACATCTACACAACTCACTGAGAGACACACACATCTACACAACTCACTGACACACACATCTACACAATTCACTGACACACACATCTACACAACTCACTGAGACACACATCTACACAACTACACACATCTACACAACTCACTGAGAGACACACATCTAAACAACTCACTGAGACACACATCTACACAACTCACTGAGAGACACACATCTACACAACCCACTGAGACACACATCTACACAACTCACTGAGAGACACACATCTACACAACTCACTGAGACTCACATCTACACACATCTACACAACTCACTGAGAGACACACACATCTGCACAACTCACTGACACACACATCTACACAATTCACTGACACACACATCTACACAACTCACTGAGAGACACACATCTACACAACACACTGACACAGACATCTACACAACTCACTGAGAGACACACATCTGCACAACCCACTGAGACACACATCTACACAACACACTGAGACACACATCTACACAACTCACTGAGAGACACACACATCTACACAACTCACTGAGAGACACACATCTGCACAACTCACTGAGAGACACACATCTGCACAACCCACTGAGACACACATCTGCACAACACACTGACACAGACATCTACACAACTCACTGAGAGACACACATCTACACAACTCACTGAGAGACACACATATACACAACTCACTGAGAAACATACACATCTACACAACTCACTGAGAGACACACATCTACACAACTCACTGAGCGACACACATCTACACAACTCACTGAGGGGCAAACATCTACACAACTCACTGAGGGACACACATATCTACACAACACACTGAGAGACACACATCTACACAACTCACTGAGAGACACACATATCTACACAACACACTGAGAGACACACATCTACACAACTCACTGAGAGACACACATATCTACACAACACACTGAGAGACACACATCTACACAACTCACTGAGAGACACACATATCTACACAACACACTGAGAGACACACATCTACACAACTCACTGAGAAACATACACATCTACACAACTCACTGAGAGACACATCTACACAACTCACTGAGCGACACACATCTACACAACTCACTGAGAGACACACACATCTACACAACTCACTGAGAAACATACACATCTACACAACTCACTGAGACACACATCTACACAACTCACTGAGAAACACACACATCTACACAACTCACTGAGAGACACACATCTACACAACTCACTGAGAGACACACACATCTACACAACTCACTGAGACACACATCTACACAACTCACTGAGAGACACACATCTACACAACTCACTGAGAGACACACATATCTACACAACACACTGAGAGACACACATCTACACAACTCACTGAGAAACATACACATCTACACAACTCACTGAGAGACACATCTACACAACTCACTGAGCGACACACATCTACACAACTCACTGAGAGACACACACATCTACACAACTCACTGAGAAACATACACATCTACACAACTCACTGAGACACACATCTACACAACTCACTGAGAAACACACACATCTACACAACTCACTGAGAGACACACATCTACACAACTCACTAAGAGACACACACATCTACACAACTCACTGAGACACACATCTACACAACTCACTGAGAGACACACATCTACACAACTCACTGAGAGACACACACATCTACACAACTCACTGAGACACACATCTACACAACTCACTGAGAGACACACATCTACACAACTCACTGAGAGACACACACATCTACACAACTCACTGAGACACACATCTACACAACTCACT